GAGCTGCTGGAGTCAGTGGAGTTTTCCTGTGACAAGCCGTCACTCTGTCTTGCTTGAGCTTTATAGCACCAGTCAAAGCAGTCAGAGAAGATTGAAGTGACAGAGGCCCACTGAGTAAATAGTGAAACATGCAGCACATCATGAAATATTCAGCCAGGGTGTAAAAGCTCTAAATGCTTTTTCAATTATTAGCACCTGCACCGGCTGCACACATCTAACACTAACAGCATGTTAATTGCCACAATTTGTTAGGGTAGTTGTAGGAGAAATTTTGAAGGCATGAGACATTCTTTAGCGTGTCTTCAATTCCTCTCTTATCTTCAGCAAACCCACTCCTTCCTCCTAAACTTAAGCATCTGTGTGCACAAGCCCCTAAGTCAGGTAGAAAAACTCAAAATTCCTGAGCCGTGGGCAGGGTGTCTCTAAAGACCCTGAATCTTGTGCAGGACACTGCTGAGCATTTTTTTGTGCACGAAATCCAGATGTGTCTACCTGAGAAAGGCACAATTGCAAACTCTAACAGACACAGGTTAAAGAGGAGTAGTGTTTGCATCTGGTGTGTTTTGTGTTGACTTTATATAAAGATAATTTTATTGGAGGACAGAACAAAAACTAGCCAAGACATATTCTTACTGTGTAAAGACTAAGAGACTGTGTAAAGACTAAGAGATTACAGTTTATTTTCATACAAGCCCAGGGTCCTCCTTGCTGGTCACGCAGTATTCTTGTTCCCAGTGCTAAGCATACAGAGTAGTTCCACTGCAGATCAGGGAGGGTATAATGCTCTAGTTCTCAATTGCATGTGTATAATGGTATAAGACAAGGGTGACATAATACAAGGGCATGTTTAACAATAGTCATGTAATGAGGTAGCCCTTTAGTCCTAAATGGTCTTTTCAGTTCTGTCCATCCCCAGTGAATACCTAAAAGTTTCCAACTCAAAAACTCAGATTTTGCAGTGGTTATAAATGTGTGCTAGGGATGCAGTACTCTTTAAAGTGTAATGTTGACTTCCTTGCAGTAGGTTTGCTGTAAGTGGGATTTATGGTTTTGCTTTAGGCTGTTGTCTTCCAGGCAGGCTTTTTGGGTTTGCAGCTGTAGCTTGGCATTTAGTGTCGTTTTCAAGTTTAATTGCACATGAGTGGCATTATAGGCTCTTCAAAACCTTGCAAAGATGGTATTTTGCGCTTCATTTTAAGTCATGCGTATGTAATATCTGCCATAAGAACCAGAGAAGCTATTTTTAAACTGGGGATATGGATGAGGGACATGTAACTTTTGTTCCATTCCTTCCATACAGGCTATACATGTCTTTTCCTGGCCAGAAGGACCAAATGCTTTGGTCATTGCAAGTCATAAAAATGAACATCCCAATTAAAACAAGTACTAGGGGTTTAATTGACAGAAAATGCTTTTCTTCCTATGATTTGAATTCTTGATTCAGAAGACTTTGCCACCCTGGGTAATGTAATGACTGCAGTGTGAATTTAGGCATTCTGCAGTAACCTGCCAATGTGACTCAAGCACATGTGACAAGGCCATCTTCAAGGATGAGGAGGCAGAGAGGCTCTAGAAACATTCAGTCCATGATTTTGCTGTAAGGGCAACAACTGTAATGCTTTGTGTAATATAATTTTTAATGGGAAGAAGGTGCCCAAATGCCTTAGGCAGATTTGACAGCTTTGGCCTCTCTGTGTGTCTATCTTAATTAATTTTTAGTATTTGCAAAACAGGTTTGGATCATCAGACTAATGAGGGTGTATATGTCAAAAATAGTAATAATATTTTGTAACTGTTCTGATCAATTCAATTTTTAAATATATAAGTCAGTGTATCTTCTGATACACTCAGTAATATATGAGGATAAAACTGGACCTAAGTAGCAAAGAGTTTCCAAGGTCCAGAGACAGCTTCAGGAATCACTTTTTTGAGAATGAAAGAACATTGATTAAAGAGAAACTAAAATAATATCTTAGCCCAGAAGATTTAAATTTAGTAAACATACTTACATGAATAACCCCACATATTGTGAAACAGATATATCACAGATGCTAGTTTTATCACAGCGTTCTTCTCAGGCAATAATCCATTACCCTGGAGTAAAAATAGTAAAATAATATCTCTTAGCATGCTTTCATGTTGTGTGTCCAATCCTGTTTGCGTCCTTTGAGGTTCCCACTTGCTATACTCCAAGCAATAAAACAGAGTCTAAACAGTTCATGATACTGCAAATAAATGTATGTATTGATTTAAAAAAAAAAAATCAAAATGGTTCTTTTAAAAAAAACCCCGCAATTTGTTACCTAAAACTTCAGCAGGGGGCTATATCTGATGATTCACATACTTTGTTATTCCCTCAAACCAACTTATGTTTAAGCCTAAAATCTTCTAATAAACCTTTGGTAGAAGCTACTTTGAATGTTCCCTGTTAGGATGCAAAGCCCAAAAGAACTGTGCTAGGCTTAAAGTACTCACACTCTAAAAATTGCCTCAAACTTCAAGGCACTTGACCATAATTGGATGTCAGATATCTGATACCACCCGCTTTGTTATAACATTCCTTTCAATTTGTATTATTTCTGTTTCTATTTTTGTGTCTGGGATTAGAGTATTGCTAAATAGTCAATTGTGCTAAAGCTTCAGATCACCTATTTAATTTTAAATCTCAGAGCAGAAAGGAAACACTAATTACAAAACTAGAATATGGCATTGTTTAAAAACTGATTTAGTATAGTTCCTCTGATGAAGGATGGGGGAAAATAAAACTCCTTCTTGTGCTTGATTTCTGAAAGAAGAAGAAGGGGATTTGACTGGTGGACTTTGCTTTTGAAAAGTGAACTTTTCAGTGCTCCTCTAGAAAAACTCGTGAAGAAAAATGTTCTGGTGAAGTACTGAGGGGAAAAACCTAACCCTGAAACAACAGAAAAAAAAACATTCCTCAGTGGAAACTCCCGAAGATTCCTAATCTTTTGGCAAATTCTCTTATTGTGAAACATACAGCTAACACATTCCATTGGGAAAAATAGCTGGGACAGATCATCACTAAACATTGTCTGAACATTGGCACAACCTTCAAATTGAAGCATGTTCATGGCTGCAGATCTTATTGTGCCACCTCCAACTCTGAGCAGATGGGGAATGCCCAGAGTGGCATCTCAGCTCTCAGACAAAACTACCATGGCTGCATCATGCTCATGGATGGAAGAGAATGCAGACTCTATATATTTTTCTAGAAATTTAAAAAAAGCCAACAAGACAACAACCAAGCCACCACAACAAACCCCTTTGATACAGCGTTTTCATCTCTGCTTCATAAAAAAGAGGGAACGTGCTTATGGAAAGCCTGTCATTATTCAGCTTGGAGTAGGATCAGAGATTCCAGGTAGTCCACTAGGGCTTCCCTGCTGCCAGTGGGTTACAGCGAAATCACTGAAAACATAGTGTTTCTTTTTTCTGGATGACTCCGATTTATGTCTTTGCCATGTAGAACATTGTCTTAAATTATCAGAAGATTCTGGTTTAAATAGAACATTGTATTAATAATTTCTCAACTTTTTTTGAGCCATTTTCTTTGGAGTTGACCCTGTTTGAGTGAAATGCCTGAGAATTTTCCACTTTCAATGGATCTGTAATCAGTGGCTCTGAAATCACACTAATTGATCACCCTGACTGAATTTGAGATTATACTTTTCATAGGAACACAAGTGTTGGTTGCATGGTAACTTAGCATACCATGTTCAAGGTAAATTGGCCTATATCACACACTATGTTCAAAGTCCGCTTTAGCAGTCCATGCAGAAGAGAGGATCTCACCACAGCCTGGTGGTTCAAATGCTTTAAAAGCAGGAAACTTTCCTGGTTTAAGAGCTCAGACAATAGGGGCATTTCTTTACCAGGCTTCAAAGGGCAAACTGCTTTAAAATTTGGATACCTGTCTCGGAGCACTTACCATTCTTACATTGCAAATACACTCTTCTTTGAAATGTTACAATTTTATATCAAGATATTTCAAGCATTCATAATAAAAACCTGAGGTAAAGACTTTCTAGACAAAGCATTAGTAAATCATGCTAAATATAAGATTTTAGGGTCACTTTACCCTGTAACTTATGGATATGATTCTCTAATGCTATTGCATAATGTAGTCACTTCACCAGCATGTGAGAGTGTTGGAGTCACTTAGCACTTTTTGATTTTATCATATAAATTAAAGAACTCTGTGTCTGTGCTTAGATGTAGCTATATACCTGGAGAGCAAGTTCATAAAAATATCTTTTATTTGCCTCTCCTTTGAGAAGCCTTAAAAATGTGCTTTAAAATGTTGCAGCAGAAACACTTACAAGGTTATCACAGGTAGAGTTGTAAGAGAAAATGGACATTGTTGTTTGGTATTAAAATCATGTATTCCAGATATGGGCATTTGTTAGTCAGTCTGCTCTAAAATGACATACTGTTGAATCTTTAAAGGGCTTCAGTTTGGGAAAGCAGAATATGATTGGGCAAATTGCTAAAATATTTAAAGTGCAGCCTGTTAAAGCTTTTACTGTGAAGAGCATCACGTCAGAAGTTGTATGTGGTAAAAGCAAGTAATTGGCTTTCCATAGTATGCCAGTCAGTCAGCATGGGGCTCTGTTCCTATCCCTTCTACTTCATTGCAGATGCCTATAGGAACTTTGATATTTGTTTCAGAGGGGTGGGACTGGAAAGAAAAAAACTTGTAGAGATGTAATGGTGTCAGAAAACCCTATTTAAAATTAAATGGTTATTGGCATAGAAGAGGATAGAAAGTCATTGAAACTGCACCCAACATTAAAAAAATTTTTTTTTTTTTGGTAGGCAGCTTTTGTTTAAAAATGTCCTTATTGAAAGCATGTTAAAGTGCAAATACATTTCATTTTTTTTTACTTTTGTCCCTCTTTGTACACAGCTCTTGGGATATCTTTCCATCCATAATTCATAGTATTTTCCATTTATGCTGTCCTCAACTTGTTTTTCCCCAGGCATGACCCCTTGTTAATTCCTGGCAACGAGCAGATTGACAATATGGATGCCAACGTGAAAAAATACGACTCTACAGGGATGTTTCATTGGTGTCCAGCCAAAGACATCGAAAAGGTTATTTTGGTAGGTGTTGATGATAAGTCATGTTTGAAAAGAGGTTATTTAAACCATAGAACTGAGGTCTAATGGATAAATAAGTTAGTCCCTACTGTCACAAAATCCAGTGTGTTGAAATCAGGAGCAAGAGTGATAAAACCGAAGCTAGGATTTTGGCTAAAGCATTTTGATTACATAAATCTTTATGCCCAGTGCAACAATAAAAATTCATCCAGTGTAGGGAATTTCTTTTTCATAAATTGAAATTTACATATTTGGTTTAAATCTTTATAGAGAATTAAGATTAGAAATACTTGAATGCTTACATGCCCCACTTTTCTCTTTACACAAGGCAGTTAATGATTCTAACACAGACAAGTGTTGTTTTGACTTACTTCTTATTTATTGATGTCTTATTAATTATTGGTAATTGATTTTTTATTAATTTTCTCTCTTAGACCTTCTCTCTCACTTCCCAATATTTCAAGATGCCCAAATAGGCCAGAGCAAGTAATGCTCCTACTCTGACTCTAGCATGTTGCAGTGAGCCCTGTCTATGTTTGTTTCATTTCTTTAACTGGGAAAACCATCAAACTGACTCAAGTCATTAAAAATAATTAGGAGGCCTATCACAGTCTATTTTGGAAGTTTATGTCACTTGTGTTCATGTACTTATACCTACGAGTAGCAAGTAACTAACCCCAGATCTCACACGCAAAACTGATTATATTTGAAATGAACTCCCTGGTGGATCTTCACTTTGTCGCACTTCATAAAGCTTTTCCCGAGCCTGCTCTCTTAGATTTTCCTGCACTGTGGCATGGTGTAGCCAACGATGGTGACAGGCCCACTTATTCTAGCAATCAGGGGTTAAAAGCTTGTCTCCAGTTCTCCTCAGGGGTTTCTGACATTGCCTGGAATTGCAATATCAGTGTTTAAATAGTCAAGCAAGTGAATTCCAAATTTTTGAGATGGAGCTTTGAGATGGAGTTTGCCTGAACAGCTTTAAATAGTATCATTTATTTGTAATCAGCAAGCAAGAAGGGGTACCCCTGCTGTGCAGCACTTTCTAATAGAGATAAAAATCCTCCTTTGTGGTGCAAACACATTTTAGCTGACAAACTACATGTTGCCCTCCATTGAAACGTGTTCCCCCACAAATGGTGCTGGGGAGTGACTCAGTCATCATCTCTAGGTTATGCCATGTTAGTTTTTTCCACTACCAGCCTGTGAATCTGCAAGACTGCCCAGGTTCTTTCTGTGTCACACATCATCACCAAAAAGACGCTGCCAGCAAAATGCTTCCCTACACCTTTTCAAACTCACAGTCCACAATTTATGTCTACATTCATATCTATGCAAATTTAATGCTGTCCTTAGAGACCACACAAGTACAAATTAGTGCATAATTTGAAGATGATGAGATTTCCCAGGTTGTTTTCTAATTGATACTTGATGATGTCCCAGTCAGAAAAGAATTAAATTTTCTGCCCAAGGTCTCTTTTGGCTCTGTGACATTCCAGCAGTATCAGGTAGTAAGAAGAGATTTTTTGCCATACATGGCTGCATACTGATTTATGGAGTGACATTTTTACTTACCTGCTTTCAAGACTTGGTCTCTGTCTTGTAAAGTCTGAGTATTCCAGATACATGGGCAGAGGCATGGGACAACTTAGGTGCTTCACTTGAGGATTCACTCCTGTCTTCTGCTGTTTGAAGGGCCAAGACAACTCTCTTGGTCAAGCTGTATGAAAATCAGTGTAATTGCCCTGGAAAAATTCAAAGCTCATGCATTTTTTAACTGATGAGAAAACTTCTAATTAGAGTTCCCATTCTTCTGACATAATGAGCATATCTGCTGCATATTCCAATTCCACGCTTCTGTAATTTAAAAAAATGACATATACTGTGGAAAGGTGAGAGGGAAATTTTGCAGATTTGCACTGGTTTAGTTTTGTTCATTGGCAAAACTACTGTGTAATGGTAGAGTGTACAATTTCTTGGCAATATAGTATCAGTGGTTCTCCAGCTACTTGACAGAGCACTACAATGCCAAGACTAGCTCCAGAAATTAAGGTCACTTTTTTTCCATGTTGCTTTATTTAATCATCTTAGTGATTTAGTTGCCCGCTCAACTGAACTAAACAATGCTGAAATTAGTGCAAAACTTTATTCTTTCACTGAGACAAGAAGATAATTCTGGACACTGTATAAATATTCTCCATGAGACCTTTTTCTCAGTAAGTCCAATTGGCCTGAAAATTTAGTATTAGTCACAAACTTGCACTTTTATTTTGTCACTGAGAGAAGCTCTGTGGCATATTGTGGACATTCACTGTAAAGCAGAGCAGTATAGGGCATTAATGGATTACTTCTCAGGGAAAGAGCAGCTTGTCCTTAAATAAGAGCTTTGGCTCTAAGAGATTATGGTCCTCAACTCATAAGATCTGAGTAATATCACAAAGTCCTACTAGGAACACTGGACAAACAACATCTTCCTTTTCAAACTGGTGTTGAAAAAACCCATCTAGTGATTTGTCAATGAGGCAAGAATTTTGCATCTATTTTCTGTAATCCTTAGCTAAACCCACAGTACTTTGTACTCAGAGTCACAATCCACATGTATAGAAACTTGCACAGGACCAAAATTTGGTCCAATACAATGTCTCCCAAATGCCAAAGGATTTAAAAACAAGAACAATTTTTTTTTTTCCTGCTGGGCACATTTAATGAAACATAAATAAGGGTAAAATGAAAAATGAATAGCTGTTATCGAACTGCTTCTTTGTGTATGAACAATATTGACAGTTGTATTTTTCCTGGTTTTAAACTCAATATATGATTTAAGATTCCCTTTGTTTCATTTTTCCCTTGTCTTTTTGTTTTGTTTTGTTTGTTTGTTTTTTTTAGACTCGAAGTGAAGCAGCGATGACAGTTTTAAGTGGGCATGTAGTCGTTTGCATATTTGGGGATGTTAAATCTGCTTTGATTGGATTAAGAAATTTAGTGATGCCATTACGAGCCAGCAACTTTCACTACCATGAACTCAAGCACATTGTATTTGTGGGTTCACTTGAATACCTGAGAAGGGAATGGGAGACACTGCATAACTTCCCCAAGGTTTCAATCTTGCCTGTAAGTTCAAAAGCCATATTATTGATACTATGTTATTTAGCACACCAGCTGGACAGATTCGTATTGACTTTGATCTTAGGCTTTTTTATTTTTGTCTACTCATAGGCCTGAGGACTTAGATTTTCCCTTTACTGTGTCTATGAAAACAGAGCCCTGTGAGACCTTATTAGAAGATATTTGCTGCAGTGTTTGGTTCCTCATCATCCTCATCGGATGAATTTCAGCTGCTATCAGATGTTTTAGCTGTGTTATGTATTGACCATTCACTGTACTGCCCTGCATGGAGCTGGTTCTGATGTTGTGATTTCCCTGACAGAATGACAGTAGTTATTTATGATATTATTTATGGTTTTATACCCTCAAAACCTTTGAAGATATTATTGTTACTCCGTCTACGTAATATTTATATGTATTCATAAAGACTTCCTGTGGCCTGACCTACTTTATAAGGAACACTGCCCTGGCATTTCAGTTCAGAGTCTTGTATGAAAGTACAGCAAAACCCTGGCCTTTTTTAAATCAATGAAAAGCTCCTATTGATCTTGGTAGGCATAGCCACTAAAACTGCAAAGGCCCTTTTTCTCCTATATATCATTATGTATCTCCTATACATTAAAATGTAGAATCAAGAGCTCCAGGACTAACAAATTAAGTCCTCCAAGCTGATGATCTTTGGTGACCATAGCTATAAATGACACATGAGAACCCATGGTATAAGTGAAAGAAAATGCACAGCATGTTATATAGTAAAGTTAGTTTAGATGTTTTTTAAGAATGAAAAATTATAAGTTTGCTAGTTCTCAGTAATTTCATTTCAGCAGTTAAAAATAATTAAATCAATGATGGAAGTAACTTTAGCTGAATAATTGGAAAAAATAGCTATAGAATGAAAGGTCTGTCTTTGCTTTTTGATTAATTCAGACTGTAGGTCTTTGTTACTGTAAATGCAGTTTTAGTCTTAGCCCTTGGCATTTTTCTGTAACCTGATCCAACAGATGGTGTCACAAGATTCTCTGCTGTCACAAAAATGGTGTCAATATCAGATTTGGTCAGTTAATATTCTCCTCTTTCTGCCAATTCCTTTTAATTCCAGTCACTGTGAAGGCTAAAGAGTAGAGAATGGGAATTAAATTGATAATACTGTTGAACTATCAAGCAGAATAGAATCCTGCCACTGTTTCCAGTATATCCATTATTAGAATGTGTTTTTGCAAAGTTTTTATTCTGAATTCTGAAGAGGCATAAAAGAAATGTACACCAGATTTACTTTCCCCAGTTTACACCAAAATTCAAAATAGCTTTAGATTAATTTTGACTTGAACAGCTTAAATAGTTAGTTGATGCAGCTTTAAAAATACAGAATTTTATAAAGGAATTTTATCTAACATAGTAATCAAGTGTGCTGAAGACCGCACAGACTTCATTCCTGTTGCTTCCTTTTTTTTTTTTTCCCAGACTATCTCATTCAAAATGGTGATAAAAAGTTAAAATAGCAGCAATTTTCTGTTCTAATGATAGTAATTTAAAATCGTACTTAAGTGTCTGAGATTATACTTGTAGGAACCTGTTGAAGGGAGGCCATCTTCATAGTTCTCTGTGCTTTGGTTCACAAGGTAAAACTTGCTGCTAATATCAGATGGAGATGTGGTTACAGCTGAATATGAAAACATTTGTTCTGCTTTTTTTTTTAAAAAAAAGTGGATTTTAATGTCTGTATTAAAAGATGCCTTTAAGCTTCTGAGTAAACTCTTAAAAAGTAGGCAAATGCCAATTTTAAATATCCTCAGGCGGCCTTAATTCTGTCCCTTTGCATAAAATCATTAGGAGTGAGCCTTTAATGAATTACATGGTTGCATATTATTTTTCCCCACAGGAACCCTGCTTTACTTGGTGCACAGTACAGGCACAAAGGGCAGGATTAAGGTGGCTGGAATAATCATATTCTAACTTATAATGAAATCATATCTGTTTGATACATACTGTTTTTCACAAGGTTTCAAGCCTCAAAATATTGAAAATTATGTGGAATAATTAATCTGGCAAACACTGAATAAGAACGGAGCTCTTCATTCACTGTGTGCATTTTAAATTCACTTTTACATTGAGCACTCTCAGTGGAGTTCAGGAGATATTCACCTTGAATGCTCGGGAGATGGAAGACTAGGGTCTTGCCTTGATATTATGAAAGTCCCTGCATGACACTGGGACAGTTATGTCTCCTCATCATTGGGATCCTTGGGTACCAAGCCACGTGAGGCAGCAGAGTAGAATCTAGTTTCCATAAAAAAAAAAAATGGAGTGTATTTCCTGGACCTCTCAGCCTCTGTGACATAGACTTAATATTCTGTAACTATAGTTGTGGACTGTTGAATGTGAAAGGCAAGTGTAATTTTAAACAAAAACTATCATGTTAAGTGTCATATCTCAGCTTTGTTAACTATGAAAAAAAATCCACAGGCTACCACAGCATTTAGTTTTAGTGATTCCGTTCTCTGATTGAGGATTGTGGAACAGGGAATGTTGCACAAGCTGTGCCCATTAGGATAAAGTCTTGTTTCTGTTTCAAAGGGTTTAATTACACAGCTTTGAAGCTCAGTGTGTTTTCCTTCTAGAAGCACCAAAAGCGTGCTTCGAAAAGGATTAACCTTTTCTGTGTATTGCTTTAGGTAGAAAAAAATAGCTTTGTCCTGATTGCATTTCAAATGTGCAGGACACGTAATGCTGTCCTGTTTAAATTGCTGTTCTTTTGCCCAAGACCATTGTGACTTGGTAGTAGATAAATAGACATTTAAACCACCCCCCTTGTTATATTCAGAGAGCCAGAGGTTGCCACATGATAGCAGCTTAAATCAAGACAATTTCAAGTCACCGATGAGATGTAGAATGCTGGCATTATTCCTGTTTCTTGTTTGTTAGTAATAGCTTGACTGAGTATTGAGACTGAACCTAAAATGCTGCCATCAGCACGAACTACCCTTTAGATTAGCACACATCTCCTATTCCCTGGCACATAGTTAGACCAGCTTAATGTCAGAGCATAAAAAAGATACTTGTTAAATAATTTCCCAAAGCTCCTTCTCAATCTTTAATTTGTTTTTCTTTTTTTCCCTCTTCTGCACCCCCCTTTTTCCTCCCTGTGCCAAAGGGTACGCCATTAAGTCGGGCTGATTTAAGGGCTGTCAACATCAACCTCTGCGACATGTGCGTTATCCTGTCAGCCAATCAGAATAATATTGATGATGCTTCGCTGCAGGACAAGGAATGCATCTTGGCGTCACTCAACATCAAATCTATGCAGTTTGATGACAGCATTGGGGTCTTGCAGGCTAATTCCCAAGGTAAGGACTGCCCTATAATACTTCTCTGCAGTGCCTACAGGGGACAGGACCTGGCAGGAAGAATATCCCTCACTCAGTAATTCAAAGAGCCCTACATCAGCTTGCTTGACAGTTAAACCTGCTGATTGGTATGATGGCTTTTAAAGGGACAGTCACATAGTTTCTCTGCTACATCACAGAGCACATCTTTCAGAGGAAAAATGAATGAACATGAAACTGGCATTTTTTCTCATTTTAAAATTTTCCTAGATAATGTATAAAAACGTCGTTTTCTCACTGTGGCTTCTTTCACAGGGTAAGTTGTGTTATATAACTAGTGATAACTTGCAGTTATTCTTTGGAATACCTGAATTCTGTCTAACAAAATTTCTTTTTATGTAAAACACATTGAAACTACAGAGAAAATACAAGTTTTAAAAACACAAGCCAAAAAGTAAAATAAAAAGAACAAGAACTTTTAATTTTCTTTACAGCTTTGGCACCTCCTTGGCCAGGAAGCCACAGAGAATTAACTCAAAGCTGATTTCTTCCCATAGTTTGACATGTAGTCATCCCATTTAAGAATGTTGAACAAAATCTTTCAATCTTTGCTGAGAGTGGGGGACTGATTCATAGGTTGCCAAAGGCTATTTTACACCATCTGTGCCTGTGCAAAGCAGCTGCAAAGCAGTCATAAGCACCCTGGCAAAGACCATCAGTGTAAAAACAATCATCTTCCCATCCCTGAAGGGTCTTGCAGCTTATGCAGCTGAAGTCCTACCTTTGATAAACCTATTAAGTACAGCAGTAAATATTCCCTCTGGATCTAGTTCTGCTGTAAATGTAGGTGGAAAGGATTGTGCTTTGGTCTGCAGATTACCCATGAGCCTGATCTAGAGATAGTTTTCCCTCAAGGACTGTGAGAACTAAGATTAAGTTCAGATTTTCCTCTTTGCACTCTAATCAGGAAATAGGAATTATATGCCAAAAATCAGAGGTTGCAGTGTAACTTCTTGAATATAGAAACTTAAACATAGAAAATTCTTTCTTAGAATCAGCAATAAAATAGTGGAATTTAATACTGGAATTAAATTGTACCAGGAAGCTAAAAGCTTGAACTTTTCAATGTCAAATTGGACAGTTTTCTGGATAAGAAGTAGATTTAGAGAAGAAAAGAAAGAAACGGATTGTTTTCAATCCCATGAGTGTTGAAAGTTTCAAATCTGTGGTCTGGAAATAATACAACCCTAAATATTTTAGAGTTCTTTCCTCACAAATTTGTGAGGCCAGCTTGCTCACACTCTGATTGTCATGATACACACACACTTGTAGTCATGATTAGGAAACTCATTGCAGAAGTGGAAGACAGGCATGGAGGTTCCTTGTTTTGCTGCTTTAGCCCTGCGATCTGAAATTCTGTCTCTCAGAACTAAATCTGTACTTCCACTACCAGGCTAATGGCTATTCTTTGATAAATCTCTCTGAGTCTCCTATCACACATAATTCAAATAATCAAGAATCTCTTCTTGAGCACAAAGTGTCTGTGAGAATTTTCTATCTTTGCTCAGAAGTTAGAGACATTTCCAGCACTTGACTGTTGTATTTTACCTCTGGGAGTACACAGGGTCAGACCGTTCCTCGGTGAGGATAGAGAAACCTGTCAATATCCACCACATGAACACCTGTCGTATTTTCCCTCTCCATCCTTGGAGGTATTCAGGACCTGACTGCATAAAACTCAAAGACGCTGATCTGACTTCGTAGTTGACCCTGCTTAGGGCAGGAAATTAGACCAGAGACCCTCCAATGTCCTTTACAGACTGAATTGTTCTGTGACTCTCTAATACCCAGGTCGCTGCTACAGCAATAGCCCCTGTAGGTCAGGCAGTGTACACTGGCCATAGTCCAAATCCCTTTAGCCCTTTTAAATGTTGCTGATGCAGAGAAGCAGAGGAGCAATAGGTGACACATTCTTAGAAATTTTTGACATTTCTTCAGGTAAATACCGGACTGTATGTTAAAAAATAAAAGGTGACTCTTTCCATAGATGTTGTGGGGAAATAGGGCATAACACAAGGCAGTTAACCAGCAGCCTATTTTAATTGGGAGCACTTGGAGGGGCTCTTGCAAGCCCAGTTGCTTCAGAAAATTATTATCTTCACAGTAAATTCTCTGTTTATGAAATCAACAACTCCTGAATTGGTTCTGTTCCTTTCAATGCCGTAAATTTTCATGAAAGACCTTGAATAAAATGATTAGACTGTCAGAAGCAGTTAGATCAGTAGATAGCACAAACTTTACTGGAAATTATATGAAATGTGACATTTTTGTCTGTGAAAGGCAGCTTTAACATACGGTGGACACAACTATCATGACAATTACATAAAGTAGGTGATTCAACTTTTGCTGGTCAACAAGCAGCATATTAGAACAAACTCACAGATTCTTACTGGCAATTAAGTACCTTTATTTATAGAGCAAAGTGTCATTTTACATTTGTGTATTGCTTGACATACTTAACACATTGGCTGGTACAAACTCACAGTATTGCCAGTCTGAGCTTTTCTAGATCTTAATGCATGATTTTGAATTAAGACATCCTCATCAACATCATGCTTGGATCTTCTGTTTTATTCTTTTAATTTACTTCTGTTACTGATCATCAGAAACACTGACATTAGAAAATATGAAGGTGTGGCAGAAGGTCAGTTGACCTGTGATGGGGTGTTGAAAAGAGAAGAAATAAAACAAAATATATAAGCAGTCTAAGAAAAGTATGGGCTGAGCTGCAAGAGTTTTGGTGAGGGATTTAGCAGTATGACCTTACCCTTGCTATTCCGAGCAAATAAATAGCATTATGTATGTATAGTTATGTAGTCACTAAGTGGTGCAATCTCATATAAAAACCTGATATATAATTAATGTTTACATTTCTGAAAAAAATACAGTAATTTAATTGATAAGTTATTGAATATACAAGGATCTTTCTAATTTGTATCTGTGATTGTTTCATTTCAGCTTTAGGCAAAAGATCACACCAGTATAAGAAAGGTGCCATAAAACCAGGATGCACATTTATTTAACCACCAGATAAGCCATAGTCATTGGCAAGTTTTGAAGTATAGGGCTATATCTGTAACTCCTTTGCTTTAAGTTGGTAGCAGGAAAAGAATCCACACATTTTGGGATTTCATTCCCTTTTTCTAGAGCTTCATCCTCCTCACCTGCTTTAACACCAAAGTCACTCTCATTCCTAGGCATATAAAGATCCATCACTTGCCAACCCGCTGTATGCATCCAAACATGCCCTTTGCAGTCAGGACATAGCTTTGAAATGGAACCCAGGTGCAATCCGAGGAAGGATCTTGTAAAAGGAGCAGGTGGGTGGACACATGACAGCATACTTTGCTGAAAGGGAAATTTCTATAACAATAGGGCTAGCAATTCCCAATGGATTAAGTTAACTGCTGAAAAATCAGCTCTGAATTTATCTGGTTTGTATCAACACAGGATTTTCTCATTACTACTGCAAGATGGACTTAAAACACACACAACCATTCTCACGCAGAAACAAAGACTTGATAGAACCCCATTATGGTGTTAAAATATCCCCAGGTTTTTGAACTGGTTAACAGTAATTATCTGTAAGTAATTAACAGTAATTATTCTATAAGTAGTGCAGCAACATTTTTGTCCTCTGGCTTTCTCATCTTGGATCGTAACTGATCCTGCCAGAGTTGCATCTCATCCAAGCACAGTGCTCTGCCTCGACCTTCCGCGGAAGGAAAATCCAACTCAAAGTTCCAAGACACGGGGAAAAAAAATAATCTGGACCAGAGCTACAAATGACCTAGCATATCCAGAGGGGATGGCAGTAAACTATTTGAGTTGTCAAATCTGTGTTCATCATCAGCTGTCTGGCAACATAGGACCAAATGCATGGCTACACAGAACTGTGTGTGGAAACAAGCTGTCTTCCTTAGGAAGAAAAGCTTACTAACAGTTCTGAAAGCATTTTCTGGTCTTCTTTACATAAAATATGTACTTCTATTCATAAAAGGACAAGAAGTTCTTTCAAATTAAACCTGTGCTGTTCAACGTTCTCATGTTGAAAGTGTTTTCAGGACTGCCTGCATTGATGGTTTCAAAGCTGTCTGGGCAGCTCTGTAGGCTTACTAGAGGTTAGGGCTGCAGACTCTAATGTCCTGAAAATGAGCTTCTGGAAATCATCAGGGCAGTTCATTGCCTTTGGGAGACCTAGAACCCATATTCCAAGGACAGAAAGGCCGAAGTGTATTCCGCTGAAGCTGCAGCAAACTTTTGTTTCATTAAGATATCTCAGATTTTGAAGTACAAAATGCTGTAAAGCGGGAACTTGGCCCAATTCGTCACAAAATTATTTATAAAGTCAACCTTATTTTTGACAAGGAAGCCCTGTGTTTGTCTTGATTACCTCTTAAAGATCTTGACTGAGAAAGATCTGTAAAGAGGTGTGTGTTTGTGTTGGAGAAAAAGGTCACCCACAGGTACTGGAGATTGGTTTTTATTGTCCTTTCTGTTTCTCATTCTGTTCCCTCAAACAGAAATTGAGATTTATTTCATCAAGAAGTATTTTGGAGAGCAGACAGAGAATATTATATCCATAGTCAAAACATGTGCTCCTCAGTCATAACATTTTTCCAAAACACCGAGGAGGACTGAATATGTGATGGGTTCTGCCTTGGCTGTTAAGTTGGGAGACTTTAAATAATTTTCCTTTCCTTCATTTTGTTGACATTTCAATCCTTTCTTCTTCAAGTATCATCTACTGACTATTCCCATTTAGGTTTTCATGTTTCTTGTTTTTTTCTTAGAGTCCTACTTTGTGGGGATTTTACTTGTTATTTTATCCACCAGATGAACATGGCCCAACACAAAATATTTATCTTCAGTTGTAACTAAAGCTGCTATTTGGCTTTCTTCCCAAAACCCAGAAAGACAATTATACCTAAATGTTTAGAGATTTATAAATACTGTACCAG